TATAAGTACACTGTAGCTGTCTCCAGACACTCCATAAGAGAGCATCAGATTTCATTACAGATGGTTGTGAGCTATCATGTGGTTTCTGGGATTTGAACTCATGACCACTGGAAGAGCAGTCAGTGCTCCCAACTGCCAAACCATCTTACCATCTCTTTCTCTTCTTTCCCTCTTCTCTCCCCTCTCCTTCTTTTCCCTCCCCCTCTCCTCTTTCTCTTCCTTTTAGTTACTTAAGTGCTTATCTATTTTAAGGTTTGTTCTAATGGTGCTATACTTGTTAAATTGTTTTTATAGTATTAGATTAATTATTAAAAATTTATGGTTTTTGTTAATTGCTTATTGTCTATTTTTGACAAGCTAACTTTTAAAACAAAGAGTGGAACAGAGTTTTAGATATTGTGTGTGTGTGTGTGTATGTGTGTGTTGTATGCGTGTAAGTATACAATTGCATGTGCCCTTGCTCACATATGTGGAGGCCACAGGAGGCTTTTGGATATCTTCCTTTATCACTGTGCCATATTGGCCTGAGACAGGGACTGTCATTGAGCTGGTGTGTTGGCCTGTCAGCTCCCGGGATCTGCTTTGTACTGTCTCCCTTCCCATTTCACTGCTGGGGTTACAGGCATGTGCTGCCATGTCCAGCTTGTATACGGCTGCCAGGGATTTGAACTCAGTCCTCTTGCTTGCATGGCAGGTACTCTTACATTCTGAACCACTTCTCTCATTTCCAAAGACATATTTTTTTTTATGTTTTTCATTGAAGTTATTTACAAATTGTGTTCAGATATTAATATGACATTGTTTTACTTTTCAGAAAAATTTGTGCTTTTCTCTATAAAAGCTATAATTGTTACTATTTTGATCCCCAACTATGTGTTTATTTTTTCCTTTCTAACACAAGTATAGTTAGTATTTTACAAGATATGTGTGATGGCTAGTTTTATGTGACCTTGATACAACTAAAGTCTTTTGGAAGAGAGAACCCCAATTGAAAAAAATGTCTTCAGTAGATTGCATTTGGGCAAGCCTGTGGTGCATTTTCTTCATCGATGTGGGAAGACCTAGCTCGTGGTGGGCAGTACCACCCCTGGCCTGGTGGTCTTAGGTGCTATACAAAAACATACTGAACAAACCATGAGGAATAAGCCAATAAGCAGCCCTCTTCCAAAGCCTCTGCATCAGCTCTGGCCTGCAGGTTCCTGCCCTGACTTCCCTCAGTAGTGTACTGTGATTCAGAACTGTAAGCTAAAATAAACCCTTTCCCCCCCAAGTTGCTTTTGGTCTTGATGTTTTATCACAGCCATAGAAATCCTAAGACTGTACATGAATGTTTATCAAGCATTACAACACTTCATCCTGGAAGTACTGTCATGGTTTACAAAGAAATTAAGATAGTTGTATTAGTTATGTTTCTCATTGTTGTGATCAAGTATCTGACAAGAAGCAATGTAAGGGGAGAGGGCTTCTTTTGCCTATTGTTTTAAGATTTCTCTATCATGAAAGGCATGGCCTTTCATGTGACCAGTATCTTTTTATTCTTACCAGGCTTCTTTTTTCTCTTAATTAAACCTTAAAGACAGCATATTTATTAAAGGGTGCTAGCATCATGGGGGTATCCACATGCAGAAGAGTGAAATTAGATATATTGTCTTTTACTGTATAAAAATAAATTCAAATTTGATCAAGGGTCTTAATTTAAAACCTGAGATGGGCCAGGCCTGGGGATATACACTTTTAATTCCAGCACTCAGAAGACAGAGGCAGGTGGCTCTCAAATGAGTTTGACACTAGCCTGGACCACATATAGAGTTCTAGGTTTGCCAGAGCAACACGATGAGACCCTGTCTCAAAAATATAAAGGAACAAAACAATTCAAACCTAAAATGGTGTTGCTGCTAAAGGAAAATATAGGGAAGACACTTTTGGATATAGGTATAGGCAAAAGTTTTCTGAATATAGAACCATAGTAGCAAAGGAAATAGCCCTAAGAATTGACAAAATTGCAGAGCTCCATCATAATAAAAAAAGGTCAAAACAGACAGCCCATAAAATGGGAGAAAAATCTTTACAGTTACCACAAATAAGGTATAGTAATTAGAATATATGAAGAGGTACAAGTCCCCACTGTCAATCAGTAAATGAACTAATGACTGACTAGACAGTTCTTCAAAGAAGAAATACAGCTGACCAATAAATATCTATGAAAGTGCCCATCATTTTTGTCTTTAGGGAAATGCAAATCTTAACTCCTTTGAGATTCTGTCTCACCCCACTCAAGATGACTGTCATCAAGGAAACAAATTGCAACAAATGCTGACAACAGTGTGGGAAAATGGAACCCTTACTCACTGTGAGAACCAGTCCAATCGGAGCTTTCCCAAAGAACTTCTAGTAGAACTGTGTCATATGTCCTTATTCTACTGCTTTGGGCATAAACCTAAAGACTACATCCTACCACGGAAATACTTGGACATTATGCTTATTGCTGGTCTGTTCATAGTAAGAAGGAAATGGATTCAGCTTAGGTATCCGTTGAGAAACGAATAAGGACAAGTATGGTGCATGTATATGTACAGTAATATTTTTTATTCATCTATAAAGAAAAATGAAATTTTCAGAAAAGTTGACAAAACTATTAGATAACCCAGGCTGAGAAAGAGCAATACCCCGCCTGTGTTGTCTTTCATCTGCTGAGTCTAGCTTCTAAATGTTAAATGTAAGCATGTAGGTGGAGTAAGTGTGGGAGAGGCCAGGAAGCCAGACGGGCTGGTCCATACGATTCGGAAAACAGGAATCTGTAAGGAAGGAGTTTGGGGAGTGAAGGAGTGAAGTAGAGCAAATGTTCTGTGAGAGGGGAAGTCAGGACATGGTAGTGGGTGCAGATGGATATGGCAGGATGGCAGCGTGGGTTGGGGCAGGGCAGGGGAGTCACCCCAAGGGAAGTAGGTGTGAAAATGCGCTAAGGAAACTTACTAGTTTTTAAGTTTATTTTTAAAACGATAATGTAAAAAAAGATTTTTAAAAGATTTGTTTCTGTGTAGACAAATATACAATTTTCTCTGTTGATGTTTTTAAAATTTTACTTTTATTGTGTAGGCATGTACACAGACAGTATGTTCTTAACTACTGAGCCATCTATCCAGCCCTATATGTTGACCATATATTTGCTAGTCTGATTGTGTGCTAGTACTGTAAACACACACACACACACACACACACACACACACACACACACACACACA